GAATTAATGCCTCCCTCCTTATGACACCAGTACTCTTTGAATATAATTCTCCCTTCTCACGATGCCAGGTTCATGTTCACCAGCTGTGTACATGCTAATCTGTAACAAATGTCTCCTTGAACACTTGAAGGAATGTATCCCTGTCATGCTTGATGTATGCGTCTTTGTTTAGAAATAGTATATAACTGTGCTGGAAAATCGCTCTTCTCTGGAGTACGTTCTTACCTTGTGAAGGCTGCAACTCCCAGGCTACAGTCCTCAGTTTGTCTCGAATAAAACTCTCCTTTTTTCTTTACTACAGAATGATTATTGATTATTTGCATCGACAATAGCATAAAGAAACTTTATATTTTTACTTCTCCCCCCTCACATTTAAGGTTATTGATGTTAAAATTTACGTATTTTAAATGTTGTGTATCTAATAACAAATTATTGTATTTATGGCTAATTTTAATACATTTTTTTTAACTTTTAAAGTGGAGTTGTAGTGATGTACATACCACCATTACAATATCAGAGAATCTGACTTTGACTCTATGTGTACCGTCACCAGTGAGTTTTACACAGTCATGTTTTTGCGATGTTAATTAGCATCCTTTTATTTCAGCTTGAAGAACACTCTTTAGCATTTTTTATAGGGCAAGTCTAATGGTGATGAATTCCCTCAGCTATTTGGAGCAAAAGAAAAATGAAAAAAAGGTGAAAATACCTTATTCAGGAAAAGTCTATTTCTCCTTTATTTCTGAAGGACAGCTTTGCTGGGTACTATTCTTGACTGATAGGTTTTTTTTTTTTCTATATTTTGACTATATCATCCCACTCACTCCTGGCCTGCAAAGTTTCTGTTGAGAAATCTGCTGATAGTCTTTTGGGGGCTCTCTTGTATGTGACAAGTCACTTTTCTCTTGCTGCTTTCAAAATACTCTCTTTGTCTTTGATTTTTGGCAATTTAGTTATAAAATTTCTTGGTGTAGCCCTTTTCAGGTTCAACCTATGGTGAATCTGGATGTCCATTTCTTACCCCAAATTTGGGAAGTTTTTGACCACTATTGCTTTATGTAAATTTTATCTCTCTTTCTTTTTTCTCCTTCTGGGATTCCTATAACGTGTACATTCTTTCCTTAATCATATCTCATAAATCCTGTAAGAATTATTCACACTTTTTTCATTCTCCTTTTGCTCCTCTGACTGGATGATTTCAAATAACCTATCTTCTAGTTCACTGAATCTTTCTTCTGCTTGGTAGAGTCTGCTGTTGAAGCTCTCTATTGAATTTTTCAGTTCAGTCATTGTATTCTTCACCTCTAGAATTTCTGTTTATTGGTTTTTTTGATGGTTTCTTTTTCTTTGTTGAACTTATTTTGTTCATGCATTGTTTTCCTCATTTTATTTAGTTGTCTGTCTGTGTGTTCTTTAGTTCACTGAACTTCTTTAAGAGAATTATTCTAAACTGTTAGTCAGACAGTTCATAGAACTCCATTTCTTTAGGGGAAATTATAAGAGTTTATTAGTTTCCTTTGGTGGTGTCATGTTTACCTGATTCTTCATGATCCTTCATTATTTGTGTTGGTATCTATGCATTTGAGTAGTGGTGTCAGAGACTTTAAAGGTTCACTTTGGCAGGGAAAGATTTTCCTCAGTCAGCTTAGCTTGGGGTACTGAACGGGACAGCTGGTAGTGTCCATGAGCAGGTAAAGTGTGCTATCTATAGTTGGGCAAGGCCATTGACCATGCTCTGAGGTCTGGGGGTGGATGCTGGCTGAGCTTTGTGGTTGGGTGACCTACTGATTGGGCTCTGTGTTCAAGTGGGGTCACTAGGTGAGCACCCTGATTGGATAGGGCCGCTGGCTGTGCCCCATGGTCAGATGGGGCCACTTGTTGGGCTCTGCAATCACCCCTGGTTGGATGAGGTTGCTGGCTGTGTTCCCTGGCAGAATGGTGCCACTTGTTGGACTCCATGATTGGGCAGAGTTACAGGCTGAGCGTTGCAATATCTCCTGGTTTGGTGGAGTTTTAGGCTATTCTTCACAGCCTGATAGTGCTACTAGATGAAATCCATGTTTAGGAGGAGCTCAAGGCAGGGCTTCATGATCACACAGGGCCTTAGACTGTGCTCTGTGATCAGGTGGGACCTCAGGCTGTTCCCTGAAGTTGGTAGGGCTATAGGCTTGACTTCACAATCATTTAGGCTTTTGGATGTGCTCTGCTGTTGGGTATGGTTGTTGGTCAGACTTTCTGGTTGGAAGGGGTATCCAGCTGTATCCTGCAGTTGGGGGAGGGGTAAGAGACTGTACTCCACAGTTAGGCAGAGTCACTGTCCAGGCTCCATCATTGGGGCTGCAAGGTATGCTCCATGATTAGGTGGACTCATTGGCTGTGCTCCTTGCAAAGGTGAGGCCACAGGCTGTGTTCAGCAATTGGGCAGGGCCATACGCTGGGCTCTGCTGCTGAACGGGGCTATAGGCTATGTTCTGTGGCTAAGCTGTACCATAAGCTCATCTCTGTGGCTGCCTGGGTTCTCTGGCCAGGCTATGGCCAGGACTGGAAGCTACACTCAGCAGTTGGGCAGGGCTGCACATTATCTTTCCGCCTGGGTGGGGCAATAGAATGGGTTCCATGGCTGGTATGGCACAAATGGGAAACCAAACCAGGCAGAACTGAAAACAAAGCTCTCTGGCCAGATTGGACTACTGGCTCAGCTCTGCATAAAGGCAGAGCCATTAGCTGGAATCTCTGCTTAGGCACCACTACAAGCAAGAATGTGGTCCACCAAGATCTAAGTGCTGGTTGCTGTAAGTCCTACCTTTGCTTAAGTTTCTAGTAGCCATCTAGTAGCCATGAACCACCTAGCTTCTGCAGAAGCCAGACTGCTGAATCAAATGGAGATGTAATAGGAATTACAACCCCTGCATTCTTAAATCTTTGCAAGTGGCACTAATCTCTGTTTTCCCTCACTCCCCAGGAATATGATATTGCTTTCACCTTACTATTTTCACCATGGGAAACTTCAGTTTTAGGGCTTTTCACTTGGCTTTTCCTAAGACAGTCATTGTTATTTCATAGATTAAGGAACATTAGGTTAAAGAACCGGGTTGGCCAACAGGCTACATGCGTCCTGATTATACATTCAGGAACTGGGGAAATGACTGCTGGCTGGCTTTGTGGATAGAGTGGACTCACTGTTCGGTGGACATTACCTGACCTCCATACACACTACTCTAACAGGGGCCGTGATGGTGCTTTGGGTCTCCAGGTATTAGCATCAGCTTCGATGCTGTATCAACAACCCTTAAGAGATCTGTGTATTTTCCTTTCTCTGACATATGGTTACTATGGATAAATGGCCATAGGTGCTTTTGGTGAAGAACTGAGGGAATCACTACTATGTACATTTGCAACGTTCTTTCTTATGAGTCCTGCCCTCATTTCGTTCAGCAGGTTCTAGGTCTCAGAATTGGCTCCATTCTGGATACGGAGCTAAGGATCTTCACTTTTTATTGAGGTAGTTGATCTCAGCCCTCTACTCATCTATTTTTAATCTCTTTTGATGATATATATGAAACAATATTCCTGTTGGCTGCCCATCTGTCTTGCCTGTAAGAACACTGTGTCCTATTAGCAATCTCCATACACATCTATGGGCCAGGTACCCCTGGCTGTCATTCTAACCTTGCTGCCCATTACAGAAATTATTTTTTCTTGCTCTGACAGTTAAATGCTGCCACCTGGCTTCTGTTACTCTGGAATCTTATTTTTCCATTGCTACTAGGGAATCCAGTTCTGTAAAACATTCCTACGTTATTCTGACTTACAGAGGACAGTCCCCGCTGAGCATCTGAAGGATGCTGGTGCCCCCTCAGCCGTGTGTTCCTTATCACCTTGTTAAGTTAGCGTCTCTGAGGCCTCCTGAGGAACACACTCACCTGATGGATGTGTTTTCCAGTTGTGGAGAGTAGAGCCATGCAAATTTCCCTAGGCCTTCAGATTCCCCTTCTCCATAGTCTGCTCTGGCACGTCTGGTATCTCTACTTCCACTTCATCTAGTGTGTACTGTGGCTTATATCAAGCCTCTAAGAGCCACCCAGGAGCATATTAGAGTCATCACCTTTGGCCTTTGCCAGGCTAATTAAACACTGTGGGACAGGGGAGTGCACCTGTATTGACAATTCTCTCCTTTCCAGTTTCATATTCCACCTTACTTCATCCAGAATCACTCCTAGATACAATCTCCTGGCTCCTGCTGGTACCTGCCAGCCAGTTCTGCAGTTTCATTGGAGTAAACCCTTTGCTCAGCTAGGGGGACAACCCAGGACTTGCCCAGTTGGGTCATGCTGAGAGAACTTTGCATAGTTTTCATTCAAGCAAGATATTTGGGAGGGTAGGGGGTCTGTCTCCCAACAAGAGGTAGGAGTTCTCTTCTACAGGCCCAGTGGGCTCAGGAGGATCTGGAGTTCAGAGTTGTCATGTGCATCTGCCTAGAAAGATCCATTCTGAATTTCAGGGCTTCCCTCCTTCTCTATCAGGGCCCTGACTTTGGTACAAATGACCATTCTGAGCTTAGAATTCAGACTTCTCTGAAATTGTGCCATTCTTATAATTAGGGTTGGTGCTGGGCCTTTCTTACTGTCTGCCTTCCAAGTGCAAGTATGAGGGTCTCTTTGCTTTAGGTGGTGATTCATAGATTTAAGCCCATCATTTACTCTTTTTAACACATTAGTGGCACTTAGCAATACCCACCCAAATCCACAGATCTTATGCTTACTATTTCTCCCTTTGTAAATGCCAGACAATTGTACCAGCTAGTATATCTCTTCCTCTTTATCTCATCCAGTTTACTATAGGTGAAAGTTTGGCAACTGCACTGTTATAGTACCCCGGGGATATTGGTATTCCATCTGTCACCATCTGCTAGACAGTGATCCAACTGCAGAACCCCATCCTTAGGGCCTGCTTGCTAGGTCCATTATCTTAAGTTGGGTTCCCTAGAGCAGAGTCTGAGATAAAGTCTCTTAAGTAAGTGATTTATTATGAGAGTTCTCTCAGGAGAAGTAGAGGAAGCAAGGTAGTGTGATGGGAAAAGCTAAGCAAGGATGCAGTCACAGCTGGAGACTAGCTCCAGCCTGATCCCATGGGGGAGCACAGGAGCATGAATCACACCACATTGGTGTAATAGGTTGGTTCCACCTTGGGGCTGGGGCTGGCTCCAGGCAAAGGAGGAGTAATGTGTAGATGAAGCTGGATCCATTTCATTTGGCAGAAGGCAATATTCTGGGGAGGGGTGGCATCCGCAGGCAACCCTCACAGCAGCTAGGGGATGAGAAGCCTGCCCACAAGGGGGCTTTCCAAGGTACCACCAGCATCCACTACACCAGTGAACTGTTCTCATTTGTTTCCCGAATAGCAAACACTTCCTTGAAATTCTTCTCAAATTCGTCCTCCATTAGGCCAAAGTCATACAAAGAAAAAGAAAAAAAAAGACAAAAATAATGAACCTCCTTATCAGTGTTAGACACTTCACAATTGAGAATGATCTTGTCTTAAACACCCTAAGCTACATTAACCAGGTTAAGCTTAAAAACTCACGCAGCTGAGAGTAACTTCTCTTTCCTAAGAGCATGGTTATTTCTTTCTATTGGACAGAAATGGGAAATCATTGCCATACTTGAGGACTCTAACTTAATGGTTGGGTTATTTATTTTAGTGAGAATTAGAAAAGTAATCTATATTCTTTGTAACAATTCAAGTAGTACAGAAGTGTCTAAGTACAATCAGTGGTCTTCGTTTCCCATGGTCACTTCTATTCCCCTGGGCTGATCCCTGTTAACTATAGGGTCCATTTGCATGCAAAGGAATCTGGAGTTTGGGATTTCTGAGAAGTTTAAGTGAATGTATTAGGGGAGAGATAAGAAGCACAATATGACTTTTACATGCAATTCTCTTCTCAGGTTTGGAGCAGGCAGGACTTGACTGTTCTCTGTGGGCACTTGTTGCCTTTGCAGAGAAGAATGAGCTCTCAGGGGTCTGGGGTTCTGGTTTCAGGGATACGTTCTGACTCAGTTACTCTGCCACGGCAGGCTTAAGTCCTGAATGGAAAAAGTCATTCACTTCCAGAACACTTGCTTGGGCAGGCTTGTCATAGGATGAGAAACTGTAAAATTTCCCCGCATCTGAAAATGAGGGCAGAGCAACTCAGTGGAAAGAAAATGAAATGGAAGCAGGGAGAGCCATTTACCTTGTAAGTTGCCCTGTAGTTCTGAAAGATGAGGCGCATGTCCTGCACAAACGCTTCCATTTGGCGGTAACTCTGCTCATTTAGCCTCTTCTTGATTTTGTCCAAGCACGTGAGTTCCTTTAGGTTTTGAAAAAAAATATCAAAGGGAGAGTTACTGACATAGTTCAAGGTCTGCCTTCTGTGGATTCTCATAAAATTCAGCAGAAACACATTGATATTTCAGGATTTATTGTAAAGATAACGGCAGCTTGTGTCCTCATTCCAATGATTTCCCATGAGATTCAGATCACAAATCCCACAAGATCCCATTTCAACGTCAGGTATCATCATGGCAGCCTGCAATCATGGTTTGTGATGTTTACTTACATCATATGTATTTGTCCTCTCTGCGAAAAAGGACCTCTCTACATGGCAATAGACCTTCAAGAGGAGGAACTCACATTTCTGCAAAAGAAGGCAGCTGTAAATGAAAAGCAGCTTAGAGAGAATGAGCCCATATGCATGCCCAGGCAGAAAGGCATGACGACACCAGTCTTCCGGAAGTTTCCACAAACATGTATGCCCTTTGGAAACAGACATGTAATAGCTGAGTTATTTTTTCTGTAAACAAGTTCTGGTGTGATTTCAGTGTGGTTGAGGCATGGCTCCAAAGAGCAGGCTCCCTGTGGGCGCCCTTCCCCTCACCCTTTGTCTGTTTGACTTCTCACATGTGTGCGGAAAGGAGAAGGTTTAGAGTTTGAATCTTACTCACCAATTGCTCCTTAGGCCCCATCCGCCTTGCCAGGACCTCAGATTCCCTGTGACAGTGCTGGCTTCCTGAAGTCTCCTTCATCCTGCAGAAGGTGCAAGTCCACAGGCACCTGGGAGGTCGGGCGTAAGTGAGCAAGGGCAAGGCCCCTGGAAACAGCCACCTTTCCTACAGCTGCCATTGTCTTCCTTTGAGGAATGGTGGATGGACACAGCTGGAGGACCAAGGGCACACCTCCCAGAGTCCCAAAGCCCCTCACATGGGGTCTGAGCCAATGACCCTCCTCTCATCGAGGGATTAATAGGGAGTCAGTGGGTGGAGGGTGGTGTCAGGGTGAGTGGTGGGCTCTCCTTTCCTTGTCTGAGCTGCTGGGAGCACAAGGACCCCTGCCTGCCAGGCCTGAGTTTCAGAAACTGGGCCCTAACCCTTAGGGGCCTTGGGTCTCCATCAACTCGTTGGGAATGTGGCAAAATGAGGGAACCTGGCCAGGTTTCCTGCCTTTTCAGAATAAGCACAGAACACAAACAACTGGCATTTCCATCCCTGTGAATAGGAGTCCATGCGGGAAAACCTCTAGGAAAGTACAGTAGCAGTATGTAGGCAAAGGATCCAGTCATCAACCTGAGCATCCCTGAGGAGAGCAAAGAACATGACCCTCCTACTGCCGGTATCTTTAAACAGCTCTCTGGATCACACTGCTGGACCCGTACCTATGGCCCTGATCTTTCCCCACCCAGACACAAGTAGGAACACTTCAGGGAGAGTATGCATGGCAGGAAGAAGGGTCCCTAATAAGGAGGGAGGGAGGGCTACATCTTACAAACCTTTCAGTTTCCATAGGTGGGATATGACAGTCGTCATGAAAGAATTTCAAACAAACACGGCAGCAGAACAGCTTTCCTTCATCCAAGCACACCTTACATTTGTCTGTGTCTCCCAGCTAGAAGATAAAACAATGTCTGATCCTTTGTGAGACTCCAGAAGGCCAGCACTATGGGAATCTAGAAGTCATTGTCGTTGTGTTAACTGCATGAACACTTATATGTTTCTCCCTGAGCTATGAAGGAACAGGATGGAGTGGAGATTTCAGAAGAAGAAATCATGGTCTGCAGTGAAGTTCAGGAGGAGGGACCTGTGTGTCAGACCAGAAAACTTTTCCCTATAAAATCAGAAATCCTAACACAGAAAGACTAATGACAAAACAAGAGGATGATTTTATAGGAATCTGAATAATTTTATTACTTTGCAGATAAAACAAGTTCCTGATATAAAGTGCTAAATCCATTTGTCTACACCACAATGACTAAATTGACTCATGGAAGGATGATATGTTGAGAATTTAAAAAGATGGGATAAACTTCTAAGAATGCACTGCATCCTGTTCTCTTGGCTCTAGGCTTCCTGAGAGTTGAAGGGCCTAGTAGGAGTTCCTAGACTGTGGATTCTGTGCCTGGAGGGCTCCTGGGCCTGTGATAGTGCCTTTGGGTTGAAAAGACCCAGAGGTACAGATGAGCCGGTGGGTGTCAGGGAGGATGGACCTCTTTGGCTCTGGGAGCTTGGAAGAACATGCCCCATGACTTAGCTTGGCCTATAAGATGTGGAGGTGCCATATCTGAATGGCCAGGGAGAGTGATAATTGCTTTGTTCTATAAAAAGAATGGGGAGGTGCCACCCTAATCAGCTGATACTGGATTTCTCATGAGTCTCAATAAGTGAGGCCTTTAACCAGGTTTAATTTCATTGAGAGAAGATAAAATTTGACAGTATTTTGATCCAAATCTTGTGGAGTAACTCCTAATTGTGTTAAAACCAACAGAATTAATAGAGCAAATATAAAGAGACCAATACAGATACATTGTATTATGTACAAATATATGTGTATTCCTGACAAAGAACTGGTCTGTGACTGAGTCTCTTGTCATGCAAGGAAAATGTGGTGTAAGAACTAAAATTAAGCTCAATATTATGTGCTGCCTTGACATTTGGTAAAATTGAGAGTGCCTCGAATGGCCTTTTTAACAAGACTAGACTCTTAATTTTTTGGCTCTTTGTTTTTATTTTAAATTTTTTTTTGTGTGTGAGGAAGATTTGCCCTGAGCTAACATCCATTGGCAATCTTCCTCTTTTTTTTTTGCTTGAGGAAGATTAGCCTGAGGAAGATCTGGGCTAACATCTGTGCCAGTCTTCCTCTATTTTGTATGTGGGATGCCTCCACAGCATGGCTGGTGAGTGCAGTAGGTCCACGCCCAGGATCTGAACCCACAATCCTGGGCCACTGAAGTGGAGTGCCCAGAACTGTAACCACTCAGCCACGGGGCTGGCCCCTTGGCTCTTTGCTTTTTAGCCCAGCTGCATAATTGAATCTTCAGGGGAGAGTATGTAAAACACTAATGTCCTGGTCCCCGTGCCAGAGATTCTGAATCAATTGGTCTGGGTTGGGCACAGGCATTGGTATTCTTCTTAAGTCATAGAATGAGTAATTTTGTGTGTCAGAATCATCTGGGGACTTTTAAACAATCCTCATGTTCAAGTCATAGCTCAGACTGATTAAGTCAGAATTTCCTCTAGGGTGGAATTCAGCAAATGCTACTTTTCTAAGGTCTTCATGTGATTCCAGTGTGTAGCCCAAGTTGAGATTTAGCCTCAGCAAAGGCTCGTTATTAATGCATGAGGATATTATAAGTCAGTGTTGAATGGGCCTGTAATATCTGTCCCAAGAAAGATTACTAACAGGAGTGAGGGTACTCTTGCTGGAATGGTTGCCCTCTCCTCCCCATGGACTCTTGGCCAAGGGTTGTGTGATGTAATCCTGTGTCTACATCCATCCCAAATAAAGGACCACAGGGCCCAGGGTCGTGGAATTCATGCAAATCCCAGAGAAGAACTTCACTGCCTTCTGCAGCTCTTCTAGGACATGAAGACAGCTCTTTTTGTCCTGAAGACAAAAGGCATCTGAGTTCCCCAGTGCTTCAGCTCTTCTCCCAGAAGATCACCCTCCTCTCCCCACCATCCAAATCCCAAGATGTCAGCTGGCTGACTTTTTAGAGGTAACTGACTACCGCCCACTGGACTTACATTGCTTTTACACATTCAGTAGAATGACTTGGCCTCCTTCACTTCTGGGATCAGGCAACCTCAGCTTTTATCTCCAGCCCAGGACAGAGTGATCCACTGGAAAATGACCTGAGAGGTGGCCATGTCACTGCCTGCCACTCTGTGCGGCCTAGAATCCCCACCCCACTCCATTAGTTATTCTTCCATGTTAGAGAGTGAAGTTGAAATAATCCTTGAGGTCGGGGATATTGTTTCAATCTTCTCTAATGGTCATTGGACATTTAGTATGCATTCAATAATTTTTTTTTTTTTAAAGATTTTTTTTATTTATATTTTATTTTTTCCCCCCAAAGCCCCAGCAGATAGTTGTATGTCATAGCTGCACATCCTTCTAGTTGCGGCATGTGGGACTCGGCCTCAGGATGGACGGAGAAGTGGCGCCTCGATGCGCACCCGGGATCCGAACCCGGGCCGCCAGCATTGCAGCGCGCGCACTTAACCACCAAGCCACAGGGCCGGCCCAGCATTCAATAATTATATGTTGAATAAATGAGTATTGTTTCACTTAGAAAAAGAGATTACTTGCTATCTTTTAAACAAATACTAACATACAATAAATGATTGTTCTGGATGAGTATATCAGATTATTTTACAACACAGCAGCTGTCACCAGAAAGTATAAATGGCCCTTGTCAGGAGACAGGAAGCTGTGATGTGGTGCCAAGAGTGACACCGAAGTTTCCAGAAACCAAGGAGCTCCATCAACTAGAGAGGTTCTGAGAGGCATAGAGGACCCACAGAAGTGGTAACGGATCCTGAGATCTGTCACTTTGGGGAACTTCTGTTCTTGATCAAAGAGACACAAAATTTAGGGGCAATTGCACCTGGTTGCTGCAAGTGTTGCACCCATGGATAAGGTTAGAACCTGTTGATTGGAAGTTGCTAGCTCTTTTAGATAATCTAGACTGAGTAACTCCTGACTTCTGAGGAACAGTAGAGACACTGTTTTTTAAAGTAGTTACCGAATAGGTCAAACAGTAATTTTTCTTCAGTAAATCCAGGGGATGAAATGTCCCAAGGACTGATAGTTCAAACCATTCAGAACATCAGATAATGTAAAGGCCTGGACCTCACATTCCCAGTGGAAGATGAAGTCCCAGTGGCCAGTTATGTATGACCTATCTTAGAAGTCCGTGCATGTCTTAGATGGCCATTTATACCTAAGTGTATAAGAATGGCATTTCTCACCTTCCCTTCCTTCTTGGGTTCTAATTCATACCCAATCTTGGAAAAAACCATCACCTTGTCCTGAATCTACACTGTACTTAACTTATTTGTTTGTTGCCTCCATAACCTTCTTCCATAGAGGGAGAAATCACTTTCTCAGATAGAAGGGACGTCTTTACAGCCCCTCTGATGGAGCCCAAGGGCATCCAAAGAAGTGACATTAAAGTAAACAATTTTCCAGGTCAGCCCCTTCTATAATATACTTCGATCACCCAAGAGCTTCCTCCTCAATAGCACCATCCTCATGAAGGGCACATAATTTCTATTTGAGACAAATCCTGTCTGTGTATTTTATCGAAAGGTGGAAAGGGATGCAAAGGATCAGGAAAAAAATGATTTTAGTTGCCTATCTCATGTGCCGCATAACAACGTTTTAGCCTGATGGACTGCATATACAAAGGTGGATTCATAAGATTAGTAGCATATAGTCTAGTCACGCAGTAGGCTATACCATCTAGATTTGTGTAAGTACTGCAGGGGAGAAAGAAATTTTTCTGTACCCTTCTAAGTTCTTCTGGTTGATCTTAGAATTAAATTGACATGAGACAGATTAGCAAAAGAAAACAAACAAAAGTTTAATAATATGTAAACATGAGAGAAACCCAGGAAAACTGAATAACTCACCAAAATGGTCAAAGCCCTCACCTTAAATGCCATCTTTAACTCAAGACAAAAGATGTTTGGGGTGAGGATAGTCAGGGACTTCAAAGGGAAGAAAGGCAATTCACAGGAGGGTGAAAAGGAGCAAATATTTGGAAAACAGGTGTTTGGCCACACAGAAACAGAAGAACACAGAGGGGACCCCAATAAACAGGCTTTTCTAGGTTCCTCCCTGTCTACCACCTAGTTCATGTTACGCTAAAGTAATAGCTTGCTTCCTGAGACAGGTTTATTTAATCTGAATGCTTTTAGGCAGTTAAGGGGCAGGTAACAAGAAAAATTTTCTGAGTCTTTTATTTCTTAAAAATAACTAGCTTTAAATAATCCTCATCTTAAAGGGACACATGTTGGGGTGGCAAATTTTACTCCCCTACAGTACACTCTATGATACTCACACAGTGATGAAATTGCCTAATGTTGCATTTCTCAGAGCATATCCCTGTCGTTAAGCAACACATGACATATATGGTTTCATTAATGTCCCCAAATAGATTATCCACCAGACCAGGGTCATCTGAATGACTATGCACAAACTTTTGTTCCATCAGATTTCAATAAAGTTAGAAAATATTAACATGTTAATAATTTCATGTTAATATTTTCATGTTAATATTAATATTAACATGAAAAAAATCTGGGTTTAAGTTGAAGATGACTCTGTCACCTTATTATGAAATGTTTTTATGTATTCAATAATCATATTTGCTTTTCCAACTTTGACATCCTTACAACATCTTCATCTGTAGCTAAAGCACATCCAGGAGTTCTATTTTGATGACTTCATGTCATCTCCATCTCAAATGGATTACCATTCAAAGATGACATTGCCTTATACACAACATAATGTTCAAAGTAGCAACTCTGAAGACACAAGCAAAAAAAAAGGCAGGGAAGAGGAGAGGAGGAAGCTTAATTATAATCACCCAATTGAGAAACCATAAAATAACATGCTATACACATAAAACCAGTCACATGATGAGAACTTGTAAAATGTTATATAATAATCACCTTTTTTTTCCTGCCATACACTCTTGGAGGTTTAGACAGAGACCCTTCCTGAAAGATAAAAAGATCCAAGTATATGGTTAGCTTGTGTTTCTGTTTTGTGAGTCTGGTATTTCCAACCTCCTCCCAAATATATCTACCTGGATGTCCCACTACCGGCTCAAAGCCAAAGTGAATAAACGAGAAACAATCTTCCTTGCCTCACCTGTACTTCTTCTAGACTTCAATTAATGATAGCTGGAAAATCATATTTAGAACATCTTCCTCCCTCTCTTGTGCTTTTTCCAAAGTTTTAAGAGGTTTCTCTTCACAATTCCTTAGCCACCTCTCACCTCCTATCCATTCCCACAAATGCCACTCCAGCTTGAGCCCTTACACAACAACCATTCACTCAACACACACTTATCCCGTGCCTACTGGATCTCAGACACTCTGGACAATGTTGAGCACACATAGACCCTGCATGAGTCTAGAGAGAAAAAGAGAATGCATGGAAAGATAAGTATAAAATGGTGTAAGCAGGACTTTAGTAGTGGGTTCAGGGAGTCCATGAGCCAGATTAGTCAGAGAATATTCAGAGAGGGGTAACATTTGAGCTGAGCATTGTAGGTTAAGTATAGCTTTGTTGGGCTGAAAGACATTGAAGTCATTTCAAGGCCCCATGGCTGTCTAAGATACTGTTTTAAATATGTCATTTCGCACCTCAGAAGACTGCCCTGATTCTTCATTGTCTATGTTACAAGTTTCAACTCCTTAGCTTGGCATTAAATTCCTCCACAAACAACCCCAGTTGATGAATTATACGTTATCACACACAATCCATCTACTTCAACCACAGACCTACTTTAGTCGTGGTCTTGGTTTTCATGCTATTCTTTCTCTGGAGAGTATTTTTCCCTCTTGTGTGACTGTACACTGTCTTCTTTCACTGCATAAAGTTGTCTGCAGTCACCTTAATCAGAATGACCTTTCCCTCCTCCAAGTTCATGCACCTACCCTGACTGAGCCCCTTTTATGACATTGATGTGCTGCGTTGAACTGAGGTTATGAATGTGGGGCACCTCTCCCCCGGTGAGAGGATAAAGTCCGGTGCATCAGGGCTTCAGCTATAACTCAACAAATATTTGTTGAGCAAATAGTGATATTATTCTTAGGATGCAACAAGGAAAGTCACATCTCTGTCCCCCTGTCCATGGAATACCTCAATCAGCTGATGTAGGGTTTTCCCACCACAGCGCACACTCAGCTTCCAGTTATTTGATTTTTCGTGGCCTCCACTGACTTCAAATTCCTTGAGAGTGACCCAGTTTCCACCATCACGCTGTATACACTTCACCGAGGTTCCTGTAAAATCATGGTAAGTTGATCTTGAGCTCTCTTTGTCCTCAGAGTTCTGACGGTGGCCTCCCACGACACTGGCTCTGGAGACACGCAATTTGGGCTCAAGATCAATAGTAGGAGAGTCTGGCCTCCCCTCTCAGACTTCAGAATCCCCAAACCCAACCTGTAGTCTCCTCAAAGGATATTTCCTGCTTTGTGGCAACATTTCTTTGACTTTTGTGTGACAAAAAGTGATAATTATCATCAAAATAAACCTTTTAAAAGTATCGCAAAATCATCTACAAAAGGAAAAGCAAGTGTTTCTGAAGGGTTAGAAGATTTCAATTTTCTGGGGATAGAGAACAGGCCAGAGTCTCCAGAATGCCCTGGGTGCAATGTGGAGACAGAACTTCAAGTTGGACTTTAGATCTCAGGTGGGTGTCTTGTGGCTCAGAATAGTACCACAGCAACATCTATGCCCTCTATTACAACAATTCTTATACAGTTTAATGGCATTATTGAGCAGAGATTTTCCCATCCCTGAAATCATGGATAGCTGACATTAAAATAATTGTGAAATATTATTCAATGGAAAATTTAAGTTATGTATAAAAGACAGTCATATGCTTAACATCATTTGTTATTAGAGAAATGCAAATCAAAACCACAATGAAATACTACTTCACATCCACTAGGATGACCATAATCAAAAAGACAGACAACAATAAGTGTTGGTAAGGATGTAGAGAAACTGGAGCCCTCATACATTGCTGGTGGGAATATAAACTGGTGCAGCCACTGTGGAAAATAGTTTGCTTTTTCATCAGTAAGTTAAACATAGTATTACCACATATCCCAGCATTTTCACTCCAGAGTACGTACCCAAGAGAATTGAAAACGTATGTTCACACAAAAACTTGTACACGAATGTTCAAAACAGTATTATTTGTAATAGCCAATGAGTGGGAAAAACTCACATTGATGAATGGATAAACAAAATATGGTATATCTATACTATGGAATATTAAATTATTTGGCAATAAAAAAAGAATGAAGTATAATATATGCTACTACATGGATGAGCCTTGAAAACATCATGCTAAGAGAAAGATCCGGTCACAAAAAGACATATTTATATGAGTTGATTGATATGAGATGCCTTGATAATACCAATTTATAGAGAAGAAAATAGATTAGTGGTTGCTTAGGGATGGGTGGTGGGATAAGGTGGGAATGGGCATTGACTGCTAAGAGACACGGAGTTTCCTTTAGTGGGGGACAAAAATGTTCTAAAATTAGATTTTGATGATGGTTGTGATAATCTTGTGAACATATAAAAAAACCCAAAACACACCCAACATTGAATTGTACACCCTAAGTGGTGAATTGTATGATATGTGAGTGATATCTCAGTAAAGCTGTTTAAATAAGTCACGATGTAAACATTTTATTAATTGGTGTCCACACACCCATATTAAAAAAGGTCTGATATGAAGTCCGTTATAATAGACAATTATTGCAAAGCTTTATAATTTAGAAATCACAAAATATTTTACATTCATTTTGTAAATGAAGTCTCACAGTCACATCATGAGGCAAGTTTTTAATTATTGTCTCTTTTTTAGATGAGAAATTTTAGGCTCAGAAAGGGCCCATTCTTTTCTCAGATGAATCTGTCACTCTTGGCATAACTGAGGCTGGGACTTGGGTTTTCTGATTCTAAATTCTGTGCTCTTCTCACTACATCAACACTCTGGCCTGGAGATGACGGTCCAGAAGGGAAAGAGGATATGCAGGTGGAGTCTGAGGGCCTCTTCCCTTTTGTTTCTGATTCAAAGTAAAATATGCAATATTTTCCATCTGTAGATTGAAGTTCCTGCCCTTCTCTTTGGTTGTTTGGGCATCCCTATGGACACTTCCATGTGGGAGTGAGCCCTTAACATGTACAATTTCTTAAAGTGAGAAAATACCATCTTAGGATTCCCTTGCTCCTTCTCTCAAGCCAAACTGGGACTCCAATTCCTTGAATGATGTGTAATTCACATGGGTAATTCCATCACTTCTTGTGATTCCTTCAGATAGGGGTTGCAAATTAAAGTAGACCTTGAAACCTACCTCGTTTCAATTTTCTCTTATGTAACATCCCCTTCACTGGACCACAGGTCACAGGAAGTATTTCAGAGTGAAAATCCACACTTTCATCTATGTCCATTCTTAACCCTGAAAGAGAAGATTTCTTCATTCTGTCTCATTCTGCAATTGTACATGCACCCCTCCTCCCCTGTGGACGGTGTTGCTGTAAAGACATAGGGGCACTTAAGAAACTATTCCACAAATCTCTAGAATTTCAAAGTCTTTCTTCCAGTGGTATTTTTGATACATGACTACAGAATGTCTACCTCTATCTCACCCTTCAAATCTCACTTTAACAGAGAAACCAGGCATCAATAAAACTGTCTTAACTCCCAGTCTAGTCAGCCTCACAGATTCTTACACGACAAAGAAACATACAGCTTCTGTTATGTTCTGAACGGAGCTCTCCAGCTATACTGTTTCATTGCAGCTAGGTAGCTGGAGACAAAGTGAGAGACCGTACTTGTATCTCCCTATTTGAGCCCTGACTGAATGAGCAGGGAGAGGATAATGATGGGGTACGTGTAATGGAGATGGTGTCTGCCTTCCATTTGTGTTCTCCACTTTGCTTCATCTCTCCCTCACACCAGCTTTCTCCATAGCTGAAAGAGGAGCTCAGGAAGCTCTAGAACAACCTGCAAATTGCATGGCTGGCTGGACCATTCGCAGTCTGACAATGGTGTGCCCTTTATCAAGAAATACACCCAATGCACTGATTGTCTGACTCTCTGTCCTCATTTCTTCCTGTCCACACACTTCTGTACTGCTCTTTGGTCATTGAAGGCAGCTGTTCCCACAAAGGAATCAGCTCCTTCCTGAATCATGATCAGGACAAAAGCGATGGGACATTAATTGTGTTATATAAACCAATTCTGAAAATTCAGGATTCTGTTTTGACTATTGCTAGTAATGATGGTTCTTTCCCCAACTAGCTTGGAGGGCACAGCTCTCGGAGTGCCTAGGAGATTCAGATTTAAATTTGATTATAGTTTATGGAAATGCATTTGCCCTTCTTATATCTGACTCTTCTGGATGAAAGGTCCCTTAGGGACCTCAACAATTGTAAATGCTTCCCTTTCAGCATGTGTGCCCTTGGGATGGTACTTCTTGTGTGAATGTCAGGCATTCACTTGCCTTCCTCATGCAAACATGGTGTCTTGCACAGCAGGGGTGGTCTCTAGAGACCTAAAACATTTATGGTTTATGAAATTTGTTAAGTGCTGCAGGACACAAATTGAATGGATTTGGTCCCAGCCCCCAATCATTAATCAGAGTGGCTGGTGGAGTGGTTTCTTCATGGGGAGAGTTGACAGAATCTGCTATGTGAGATGAATTTGTTGGGAGGTGATTCTCCGTGGCATTTCCACATGGCTCAGAGTATCTTTTCAAGGATGTCTGAATAGCAAACAGCCTTGGAAGCTAGAGTTAACACAGCCCTTCCGATCAGATGGCAGATTTGTTTCCTGATCAGTATAAAATAGAGAACATCTCTCTCCTTAGAAATATTCCGGGATAATAAAGTCTCCCTCCTCTCCTCAGAGGATATTTGCTTAACTTCCAGGGTGATGGTCATGTTCTGTATCTTTATAAAGATTTGGATTCTACAAGAGAATGCTTTAATCAGAACTCATAAAATGATATACTTAATATTTCTGCATCTCATTGTAAATTTTACCTCAAAAGAAAAAGAAAAGAATTGCAAACAAATATTGAACTCCAGTTAATGATACGCATGCTGAAGTATTTGGGGGGAAGTGTACTGATGTCTGCAACTTTGTAATATTTCCATCTTAAAATGGGGTAGTGAACGGGTAGAGAAGTGGATAGATGGACAGAAATGTGATAAAGCAAGGATGATACAATTTTAATTGTGAATCTATGTGAAAGTATATTGGGGCTTATTGTGAAATTTCCCAATTTTTCCCTAACTTTAAAAGTTTCATAACTCAGTGGTGGGGAGAAGAGCTTTTGGAGAGAAAGGAACGACTATTAACTAAGAAATGGCAGTCACAATAAAAGAATAATTTTCATCAGCAACACAATAGATTACAGAAGACAATGCAGTAATCACTTTACTATACCAAGAAGAAATAAATGTCAACCTAGAATTTTTAAACTTGCTAAGAAAATTCTATCAAAACAAAGACAAAGTTGCATACACAATACTTAGAAAGTTTACCACTTAGAGACACTCACTAAAATAACCAGTGATTTAATTCAGGTTAGACAAAAAGTGAAACCAAAGAAAAGGAACAATGATGATAAAAAAAGTCGTTTAATTATTGAATGCAAAAATGATAATAGTTTCAAAATTTATAATTAAAAGAAAATTAATTAAAAAATGTTAAATGACAATAGCTTAATGACGGAAATGGGATGTTCAATTTGTAGGGCATCTATGCTAAGATCCTTGTCATCTTTTGAGATCAGGACATGTTTGAAGACGTTACAGAAATTTTATCTCCAATTTCCAAACCAGCAGAGGAAAAAGGTGGAATATAGAATTCTATCTCAACCCACGAGAAAGCAAGAAAAAGACACAGAAACACAGAAAAAGAATGGTCAGCAATAATGTAGAATATGTAAGTTCACATATATCAAGAATCATAATAAAAGTAACAAATAAAAGTTAACTATTAAAAGATCAGGATTATCAGGGAAGGCTACAAAAAGCTAAGTGTTGTTACAGGAGACATAAAACAAATCTGCGTCGGAAGGCTTTATGAAAAGTGAGTAAAAAACAAAAAAAAAAATATAAAACATAAAAGTTAATGTAACAATCTTAGCACTCCGAAAAAGAGATTTTAAGGCAAAAAGCATTAATAAGGATAAAGAGGAACACCGTATAATAATAAAAGAAAAAACCCTATTATAACAGTTACGAATAGCCTCAAAGTATTTAAAGTAAAACAACAGAACAAGGAGGAATTGGCAAATACAGAATCAAGTAGGAGAATTTAACACATCCCTATACAAACTTGACGGAACAAACACAACCTATTTTATTCTGGATATAGAAGATTTAAAAAACAAAGTTGTGCTTGACAAAGATGTGTATGAGGAGAAGCCAGAGCCCAACAAATAGTTTAATTGTACATTATTTTAAAGTGACATAGAATATTTACAAATATTGATCACATGGTAGGTTCCAAAGGGACTTAAACAAATTTTAAAAAACTGATGAGGTCAGTTCTTCATATTGTGTTCCAGTTGTTTATTTTCTCTTCCTAATTTACTAACAGAATATCTGCATTCTGGAGACATCTAGACAAAATATCATAGTTCATAACTTCCAGTATAGCTGGCATGACCACCAGTTTAAGATTTGATGAGTAAGATGAGAGCAGAATATTGTGTGGGAGGAAGGGAACTCTAGGAAAGCTTCACACAAAATGGTCAGACCTCTGGGGGAAGATATCTTTTGCCCTTCACCGTTTCTCCTTTGGGTGGCCTAGAACATGGACAAATGGCTGGAGATCAGCGAGTACCTTGGACAATGACGTGATCTTGAAAGTGGCTGAACTGAAAGATAGAAGAAGATTCAAAATGCACAGGACCTAAGATAGCCAAAACAATTTTGAAAAGGAGAAACACTACCTGATTTCATGACTTATTATGAAGCTATAGTAATGTATGGTGTCGTATTAACATAAAGATAGACATATAGATAAATTGAACAGAAAAGGAAGTCCAGAAAAACACCAAAACTCATATGGCCAACTGACTTTCAAAAAGGATGTCAAAGCAATTAATTCAATGTAGAAAGGATAATCTTTTCAACAAATGGTGCTGGAACAATTAGATATCCATACACCAAAAAAAAAATCCTAACCTCACATCATATACAAAAATTAACTCAAACTGGATCACAGATCCAAATGTAAGAGCTAAACTATGAAAGTTCTTGAAGATAACATAAGGTCTTGATTTGGGCAAAGATTTCTTAAATAGAACCCCAAATTACAGATTATAAAGGAAAAGACTGTTAAATCAGACATCATCAAAATTTTAAAAATTTTGCTCTTCAACAGATGCTGGTAAGAAAATGAAAAGCTAAGCTACAGACTGTAAGGCACACAACTAACAAAGAACTTGAATCCAGAATACATAAATAACTCTTTCATCTAAAAAAATAAAGAGATAACTCAATTGAATATGGACAAAAGATTTGAATAGACACTTCACCAAATGAGATCTACGGGTAGCAATTAAATACATGAAAAGATGCTCAGCATCATAGATCATTAGGAAAATGCACATTAAAACTATAGTAAGATAAAATTACATACTCACTAAGAATGGCTAAAATTAAAAACACTAACAATACCAAGTACCAAGTGAGTATGTGGAGAAATTGGAACTTTCAAACAGTGCTAGTGGGAATGTAAAAAAGTATAACCACTTTGAAAAACATTTCAGCAGATTCACAAAATGTTAAACATGCGTTTATGTTCATATGAGCCAGTAGTACTACTCCTAGCTATTTATCCAAGAAAAATTAAAACATGTCGACCCAGATATTTGTATGAACATGTTTCTAGTAGTTTTTTTTGTAATAGCCCCAAATTGGAAACAGCTCAACGCCTATCATCAAGTGAATAGATAAATAATCTGCTGTATATCCATATAACAGAATACTTCTCAGCAATGAAAATGGAGTAATTACTGATAACACAGCAACACGGATGCGTCTCAAAAGCATTAAGCTAAGTGAAAGGAAGCAAACATAAATAAACTATATGTTGTATGAATTCGTTTATATGAAATTCCAGAAAAAAACTACAGTGATAAAAACAGATCAGCTGTTGTCAACTGCCAGAGAGTGGAAAGAGGGACACAAGTGGACCTTAGGGGATGATGGAAATGTTCTATGTCATGGTGGTGGTGGTATTTACATGACTATACACATTTGTTAAAACATATCCAGTTGAACCTTTAAAGTGATGAATTCTATTGTATGTAAATTATAGCTCAATAAAGCTGACAAGAAAAGTAAAAACACACACAATCTATGTAAAGAAAACTATTAAACTTTGTTGAAGAAGGCAAAAGGTGACCTCAATAAATATGTAGTTCATTCTCCTCGT